ATTAAAATATATCGTATTTCACACTATCAGTTTCAAAAATCCAGAGACTATTTATACTATGAATACTCATCAGATCAATAAACAATATAAATTAATATTATTGTTTTAATAATTTTTTTTGGTTTAAAATCCCATTGTATTTTTATACATAGTATAATTTTTGGTTAACCATAAAATAAAATGCTTATAAACCAACAGTAAATTGTTAAAAAAAACCTTCTCTAATTTTATATTTTATTGACCAATGTATGTATATTACATCTACTCATAATCAATATATCAATATATCATAGCGACAGGCCTCGGTCTTTTTTCTCACTGTTATAAGCATATTATTATTTACTCTAATCAATCGGGTTTCTACTACAACATTGATGCAAAATATGGTATACCTCCTATATAGTAAAATAATAATGCCACTTTCGGGTTGTGCGAATATTATGTGGTCAATAAGAAATCGATATTTTTTTGGCTCCCATGGATATACGCTTAAGGTATCAGAATAAATTATTGTTAACTCCCGTAAGGTGTATCCATAATATATAATATATTCAAATTATGTCCACACTTTTTCCACATCCCTTCTATACTCTGTGATACCACCAGTTTACGATTATTTAGCACTAAGATTAGTATTTATTAGTTTTGTTGTATTGTATATCGTCTGTAGGTTTCAAGGTGCTTTTTATCTACTGCATGTGGCTTCTATGGTATAGAACACGATGAACCAAAATCGAATGGCTGCCTAATACATTTTGTCTTTTTATTTGGAACTTAAGAAAAGATGTGTGATGAGTCGTTCGCTGAGACTACCACCAAAACAGGAAAAGATTTTTTTACTTTTTATCATTTACAATTTACCAAACACGTTGGAGGATTTAAAAATGGTGCACTGTATATAATAATAAAAAAAAATCGTAAGCTGCGAGCTTGAGAATCATAAAATAAACGATGGCCCCGGGGTTACTTATAAAAACACACGAAACAAAATAATATAAAAGAGTTTTGTTTCTAAACTACTGTCGCATGTTCTTTTAATGACAATATAATATATGCTGCAAAAAAGATACATGTGTATAATAATAACAAAATATATACAGAGTAATTCATACATTATCACCCCCGGGTATTCCTTTAAATTAACTTTTTTAAATCCTGATTTTTGGAATTTTGAAGTTTAAATAAGAACCATATTTTTAAGTTCTTGGATACTTTTAATATAGGTTCATGATAAAATAATTGTTAAAATAATTCATCAACATTTTATAATTTGTGAAAATTGTCCAAGTACCTATAATAATTAATAAATACTATAAGTAGATTTAATATTACACCTGTTTAATATTTTTTTAAACCATTTTTAAGAATTATGTAGCAAGGTTAACTACATTTTAAAAACTTAAAAATTACTTGCTCAAATTTTGATTTGGACATATCAATATTTTTTTTTTAAAACATCTGCTTAAGAATTTACAGTAAAAAACTTTGGTACTCGGTTGAAAAAAAGGCACTTTGATGTATGGTGGATGTCAGATATTTCTTGTCATTAGGACACTTAGGTTACTATAATAGTTGTGTTAAATTGTAATTCAATAATAAAATAAAATACGTTGACATTGGTTTTTTACTCTAAACTTTACTTAAATTCTTGTAAAAAAATGTATGAAAAAAAACCTTGTATTTAAAAATTTAATATTTTAATAAATTTATTACAACATTTACAAATTTTCACAATTTTGACAAAACTTAAAAATTAAAAGATTATAAAAAAATTTTCATTATAAATGTTCACTATTTTTAATGGATCTTCTAAAAACGTATGAGGAACCCCTTTGAATTGTCAAGCTTCATTATTTTATAGACAAAAATGTCATCATACATATGTAAAAAAAAAAAACAAAAATAGCCTTTACATTTCTCAAAAAGAGCCTAATATATTTAAAATGTTGTAATATTTAAAAAATTCTAATATAAATATTTTGTAAACATTTTAAGAGTATAAATATATTCGTTTGATTTGAAACAAATGATATTGTCAAAAACTGGTTTTATATAATTATTATTGTTTTTTCTTAATTTTTATTTTGGTTTTTCTTAATTATTTTGAAAACATCGGAAATTTCCATTTTTGAATCTTCTTAGCATAAACAAGGTCCAATTTTCTACAAAAACTCTCACTGGAAGTTAAAAATCGAAGCGTTTTTCTTCTATAAAAAGTGTTTTCTGAGACAAAACACAAACCTATCATAGTAAAACCAATACATTCATCATTCCGTTTAAAATCTAAAAGAAATTTGTGTCACCTCAAAAAAATACGTCTTCTATTTAATTTTGTTCGAGGGTTTGAATATTTCTTCTATCAGTGTAATGAGATTATTGTATTTACTATATGATACAAACAATTTCAAAAACTAGAAAAATAAAAAAAATATTGAATATTCTCATATGAACTATGTTTAATGTTGTATGAAAATTAAAATACAATCGTAGACAATTTTTTTAAAAATTCATTTTGAAGATTTTTAAAAAATTGGCCCCGGTGCTTCAATAATCTTAACACGGGCTTGGAGATACAGTAGACTATCGTCGAAATGCGGTCAACCCTATATATTGCGTATTGAATGCTCATTACAAAGCACTCGAGACGTGCCTATATAAGAGACGTTCTTGAACACGTCAGCTACGTGGCGTGTAGTGGTTTGGTTGATTTTAACGTTCTTGAGGGATCTATCTTGTCCAATTGGTAGTTAAAAATATAACTGCAATGCGATAAACCAAAAGAACAAAAAAAATTGATGCTATGTCGACGTCGCGCAATGTTTGTAAATGTCGAATTCAGACTCCCTGGAGAGTGGAGACGCACGTGTAAACCATTACTTGTTCGAAACCTTTCTATTGGTTGGCTATTTATGTGGTCGCAATCAATTGTAGTTTGACGTCCACTTAAAACAAAATAAAGCGAAAAGTATTTCCAATAGTTCACAAGTATCTAGTAGAAATCTAAAAATTAACTGTTCAAATTACATAGATACAATGGTCCAGAAGTTTTTAATGGGTACCTAGTTAAAAACAATTTTTTAGTCCTCAACTCACCATTGGCCTTAAGTTCAATTGTACTTCATAAGTACTTTGAAATACCAATCACCTAGTAATGGCTTTGAATAAGTTCGAGTGGAAATTTCCTAACTTTCTTCTAAAAGGTGCTAAAATCACGAAACAGCTGTGTTTAGCCGACAAACGACCGCCATTTCCTAAACTTCCACTAAATCATCATTCCAATATTACTTAAATAAAACGTCACAGAATACTTGTTTTTGTAATGGTACACCCATTTGTTGTGTTGACGAAATTACTATTATATGTTTCTCGTAAAACATTGTTTGACAAGAGAGATATATATTGAGGTTTTATAGCTAAAAATGGTACTATTCAATATTTATTATAGTAATATTTTAAAATGTATCAAATCCATTATCCTTTGCGTAATTAGTGAAATAGTGCCATCGATTGCGTCGTATAGGAGTATAATTTAATTAAACTCACCTATTTTACTATTTTATAGTGGACAAACTATATTATAACTGTTTAAATTCTACAGACATAATAAGACTAAAAAATTTTCTTTAACTTTTTGAATGCATTACCTATTTTATTTAAGTTAACAAAAATGTGGACGAGCAAAAAATGTTTAATTGAAATGACATGTTCAAGAGTTTAAGAGATTATTTTTGGATTTTAGACGAAGGGGTCCTTTTTTTTCTTAATTAAGCTTCGCCAACACAGATAAAATTAAATAAAAGACTCTGTATTTCATTTTAAAATATTTGAGACAGAATCTTCTACCAAATAATATAAAATATTATTTGATTACGTACCTACCTATAGGCTTAGGTAGTAGGTACTACCATTAAGTATATGTAGCATATACCATGTAACTATATTACATCTATTAATTCATATAGAATTTAAAACTACTGATATTATTTTTTATTAAAACTAGTTTTGACTTTCCTAAATCATCATCTTTGTTATAGAGGAATTTAAACGTTTCTAATTGCATAAACACTAATGAAATGTTAATAATTGAACTGGGAAAAAGAAAACCCATATGGTAAACGTTTTCTCTTTAGTTACAATATAGAAACTAAGCGATATTGATCGATACGTTTTACGTAATATATCGGAACGTACATATTAATTTATTAAAATGTGTAACTATAAGTTCCTTGGCATTAATTTTAATTATCATAATATAAACACTTAATAATAATTATAATAATAAAACTATTTAGGGGCTTGGTGAGGCGCCGTCGTACGCTCGATCTGCGGAAACGCTCTGAGTGTACGTACCGGCCGGCGTTGCTTCCTTCCGGATGGTTGACCACCCGGGATTTTTAGCAACAAAATCCTTGCCTACACATACAATGCGTGTTCTAAACTAACCTTTCCCCCCTTACAAACAGCTAATGCTCATAGGTAACGGGATCTAGTTAAATTATAAAAGAAAAAACTATTTAATAAAAGATTAAGTACCGCAGACTTACTGTACGATAAAAATAAAGAAAATAATATCGTGTAATGATAACGCTTCACATATTAAACATTATTTTATTTATTATTAATAATTATTTATTAAAAATTTACTATTTTTTGTTGTATTAGCATAATATATTATCATGGATAATTATTGTAGGGTTTCGGTAGAATGTTTTACCAACACTATAATATAATACAATATAAAATGGATAATATGCATATATTATTATATACCTGCATATCGCTTGTAAAATAGTTTCAGTATACAAATAACTGGTGAGCTCAAGGATAAAATAATAGAAATAACGATTTAATTATTTTCTTCATTGTCTAAATATTATAAAATTAAGTTGCAGACCGACGCCATTTATATTTCCTATATTATTATATCCACGCATCGACTATAACTATTCTAAAAATATGGTATTTTATACATCATAATTTTTCTTTTCATTATATTATAGTTTAACGTCAGACAAATGATGGTCGACAGTACGGGAATGAGAACGGACAATATAAAGCCAGGAACGCCCATTACGTCTGAAACGTCCAGCTCAAAAAATACCAATGATAGCTCCAGTGGCAATGTCAAAAACAGTTCAACAACTGTGGAAAAGATTGTACCATCCAGGTAATATTACTTCCGGTTATATTGGTCTTATACTATTGTGTTTTCAACCACTTAAAAAAGACGAATTATATTAACTGTTATATCGAACACCTATATATTAGTGGCTTACAAAGTACGCAATTCGATTTTTAAACACTCTGTATTTCAATAATATTTCCAAAACAAATATTAAAATATAATGATATTAAAATATTCTACAATTGTGGAGGTGTCAAAAAAAAAATTGTTCATGGAAATATAATAAGCTACTACATGTTTTGTTCACTTATATACTTTTTTTTTAATCAATAATTTTTTGACGTTAATTAAATATCATCATCATTTTGAATATTAAATTGAAATAAAATCAAATTAACCCGGTTGTATTGCATACAATTTGTATAAGATAATACAAATTAGAGGAAAGTTTATTTTTCATTTGAGTATACACCCGTAAAAAAATAATATTAAACATTTTTACAATTTCAATTTAATTTTGAAAGTATCAAATAAAGGATTGTTTAAGGGAGATCTCTGTATATAAAGCAAGAAGTTTGAATTCACATTTTGCTAATCGATAAAGATTAACAAATGTTAAATAGCATATACTAAATACACCCTAAATTAATATAGGTAATCCTGATCACTTTTATTAAATTTATTTATTAACGGCTAATTCGTTTTAATTGACCCAAACAATAAATGTTTTTTATGTTTGATATTAAAATCTCTGCGTATTTTATACCTTTATAATCTCTAAGTCACAAATAGTATTAATATCAATAATATTCATTCGTTTATCTTTATATAAACGAGAATAATCTTTACAATTCCCCACGGTGCATATCATACCCTGATTCCTGGAATTATCAAAATAAGCTAAAAAATTAAACGAAATCATATTTTTTATGATATATGTACCTATATACCTATCTATATTATATATACAGTATGTTATTTATAAGAGCTGTGTTTTAAGTTTTATTTTAATTAAATGGTCAATATAATATTATATAGTATTATCGCATTATAGCATGTAGTATTGGTATTCGTTTTACAGGAAAATATTACTTTATGTCTTTATGACGTGTATTATTTTATGGCTTAAGTATTATAGATTGTTGTAACTTATAAGCAGCAAATATTATACCTATTGATTGACTTTGATAGGGCACACGTTCTCATTCGTATTCCATACGCAATACTTAAAGTAATATGTCCTAGATGGCCAATGCTGGTTTATAGTGTTGTATGTATGCGCTGAAAAATAATTTTTTCACCGTTTTTAGACGATTGTATTGGTTGAGTGTCCAATAATATAATATAATGTCTATTATAAAACGTGTGGAATCATCTGTATTACCATTATGTCGAGATACATTTAGGTATGAGCATCACATTATATGTTGCATTTTTTTTTATGTACTTTAATTTAATGCTTGCAACGTTTTTCGTACAGTTTATCCCACAAAATAAATAATGTCACTGCTTAAAGGTTTTGTTTGTTTAAACTTAATTAAAGTAAAAAATAATGTATGGAATGTTAGGTATATCTTATACCTACCTATATAAACGTAGTTATATTATGGGGCCGTGCATTTTTCTGTTAACGTAATTAATTTTAACAAAAGCATAATATATTTAATTATGTTTTAATTATTAAAATAGTTGTGTTAAATGCAAAATTAAATTCATTTTTACTGTGATAGCCATAAGAAAACAATTAAAATAACTGAACAATGTTGTAAAAATTTGTTAATTTTGTTTAATTTGTATTCATTAAACCTTATTCTTTGAAACGATAAATCCCTAAGAATAATTCTGTAGTCTTATTTCCTACAATTTTCGAAAACAACGGCCAACAAAGTTTCAAAGTGGTGCGATGTTAAGTTAGACTCAGGTTGCTGGTTGTCATAAAAATTCCCAAGGCATCGATAAAAACGTAGATTTTTTTTTAAGTTTTGACTATAACACTTGAAAGATGAGTCTCAGAACTTTTCTACAGACGTGATTTTATAGATGTAAAAAAATATATATATATATAATATTCGGAGGAAGCTTTCTTAAAACTGTTCTCTAGATTTAAGAAGTAATAGTTATATTGAATTTTGGATACAATGACTATGGTATCATTTAGTAAGCTAAAATATTTACTAAAGTAATTTATTATATTCATGCATCATGCTATTAGAATATTATATTCTTATTGGTTGCATTTTAATTATTTGATTTTAATGGAGTACCTACCTAGTGTTGAATTGACAGCTGAACACATGATAATATAGGTATATAATCTTGTGCACGAATCATGACAAATCGGTATTCGTGGATAATTATGTTAATTTTTTCGATCTTCTGAAAGCCATCATAATAATAATGTATATGAAACCTTTGGTCGTATATTCCTATCAAATTCTAACCGTTTAGAATTTAGTTATCACAGTATTCTAAATCATGTTACAATCGCGATATCGCCTTCAACATGCTAAAGCTGTTTAGGGTTTCACCGCAATATTTTAACTGCCGTAAATTAGATTACAATTATTGTTTTTTAACGGAGACATAACTTATAATATGTTATTTACACTGAAGATACAAAACGAATACGAATAGCTTGGTAGGTAACATATTGTGATTGGATGTTGTATCAATTCCGTAGCATTTTTCAATTATTTTTTCTACAGAGGAATTTTCCTTTACCACTGATTCTATATACATTCTCAATTCACGACTTAATCTTCAACGTTTATCTGTTAAACAGTTTACACTGAATGCTTTTATGTTCATTGCGCTGTTAAAGATATATAGTGAGAACCATTAATTTTTCGCGTATGATACTCTCTACTCATGCGTTTACTTTCTAGATTACTCGTATCAAACCATAAAGAATCGAAAAGAAAAAAAATAAGCGAGACGCCGGTTATGTCTACACGTATGCTTAAATATTTCACCAATTGTCTAAGAGCTGGAAAAATAGATTAAAATTATTATTCTTTATAGATTGGTTGGACGAAGGGAGTACAACGAGGTACCTATTAAAGTATCTTAAAACGCGCATGTAGTGCACAATATGCATATTATTATACATAGTGTGAATAAAGTAGAACAGTTATAGCCAATACACCAATAAATATATTTAATTTTTAACGACTAAGTATAATCTATTGTTAAATTCGGTTATAAGTTATTTTTAGAAACGATATCAGCTTAGGCGCGTATTTATGTCTGTTAAATCTAGAACATTGTTTAATCATGTTTTATTGACGCAAGTACAAAAGAAACAAAACAATATAGCTACAAATGTTGGTTTTTAATAACATAGTGTAGATTAAGAATCGTAATAAAATAAAAAACATTTATTTTATAATGTTCAGACTTTTTGTTGGATGTTTAAATCATTTAATGTGTTTCTTAGCATTATAATAGATAGGTACTAAAAATATTTCGTTTTATTAAATAATAAAATAGAACAATTCAATTCACATGTTCTTCTCATTAATTGTTGCAATAAATATATTATCATACAAATATAGCACGTATATAATATTATAAAATGTTTCAATATCTACAAACCTACCTAACTATAGTTGTCTTACTGTACTAGGTTCTTGCGTAAATGGAAAATCAATTAGACTACTGAAGATCCTGTATAACTAAGTTATTCATTTAATATTTTCATGCCAAATAAAATTATTGTTAATCCAAATACGTTATTAAGACATTAAAATTGCTTCTATTAAGAGTCTTATTAAAAAATAAAAAAATAAATTACAGCTTGCCTTTTAAAATTGTTCGTTATATTATTATGAAGAATTGGATATAATCATTTTTTAGTGTAAGTCCAGTCGTAGGTTATCTAGATGTTTCTAAATGCCGGTTTCCACTCGAAAGCCCGGCACGCCTTTAAGGCATTTCGTCAACTATGTCCCACGTCCGTCTCTCTATATATGACTTAGACGCCTACGCCCTACCCTAAGGAAACAATATTTACGGACGAAATAAAAGACACGTCCTATCAAGACGCCCACGAGAACAATCGATACGATATAGGTACCCGCATCGGTAACTTAGACTGAATATACATGAATGGAACGGCCGGTAATCCATCTTTGTGACAAGTTTTTACTTCTTAGGCTTATTTCTTGTGTAATATATTTACAAGTCACTAGTTTTTGCATTGATATCCAATAAAGTGTTGTAACACAAGATAAATTTTAAGATTTTCTAAATTGCCGATTTCAAAACATAGTTAAATTATATTTTCTACATGAATAATATGCTTTACCAAAAAGTTTACCAGTTTAAACTGTAAAGCCTAAAAATATCCTTAAGTTTCATACTTTATAACTCATAATAGAAGTGGAAATAATATAAGGTAATCATTATAGTAGATAACAGTATGCTAAAAACTATTTAAAGTTCTATAAAGAATTTTAAGTATCCAATAAAAACTTTGCTATAATTTTAGTATTTTATTAATCTAACCCGATACATACTAAAAATTAAAATATAAATAAAATAAAAAGTAGTGGATTCCATGCATAGTTCAAAATTACATATTTTATATGGATGTTTTGTTTCACGCTTAGTAATTTTAACATCTGGAAATGGTTGATAAGGATTAATTTTTATTTGTTTATTAAATTTATATTATCAACACAACTGTGTTGAATTGCTCAATGTTATATACTTATATTAATATAAAATCTATATAGGCAGTTAGGATTAGTTATTATATCGTTTTTATTTGATAGAAGGACAGAAAAGGAATTTTAAACTTTATCCCTCAAGGAACTAAGACATTTTCACAACCGTTAAAATACATTAATCTAGTATAAATGTGAAAAAGACTATTCACCTGTAATTCTGAAAATCCATTAGAGTGATAAGCCCCATTTTCTTGAAATAATTTTGAACTTCTCTAAATCTGATCACTTCTAATTAAGAGGACGCTACACGGGAATTCATTGTCTTTGTTTCACAAACGTACAACATGACAAATTTTACGTTCACAATAATAC